GTCTTTTATGGTAGGCTACAATGGCACGGTGCAAGGCTACTTCAAAGGAAAACGAGGGCTTCGTCAAGGCGATCCTTTATCCCCATATCTGTTTGTCATTGCAATGAATATCTTGTCAATTATGTTGAACAAAGCAGCAGCTGATATGCGGATAAAGTACCATGAAAAATGCAGCTCCTCAAAACTTACTCACCTCTGTTTCGCTGATGACCTATTGATCTTCATTGATGGTTCACTAAGCTCAGTTCAAAGCGTTCTTCAGGTACTAAGGGAGTTCGAGCTCCGGTCAGGTTTGGCAGTGAGTGTACAAAAGTCATCGTTTTTTGCCTCTGGACTTTCACAGCAAGAGATCAATATGATCAAGGTCTCCACTGGAATGTCGGATGGACTCCTACCAGTCAAATATCTAGGAGTACCTCTGACAACCAAGAAACTGACGCTTGCTAACTGTGGTATCCTCCTGCAACAAATAAAAGAAAAATTCACTTCTTGGACTGTTAAAACTCTCTCCTTTGCAGGGAGTTTGCTTCTAATAAAAACAGTCATTGCAGGAATTACTAATTACTGGTGCTCTACTTTTATTCTTCCAAAGGCTTGTGTTAACCAGATTAACTCTCTCTGTGGAATTTTCCTTTGGAATGAAAGAATAGAAGGGCATCACTCAGCTAAAGTCTCTTGGGAGGTAGTGACGAAAGGAAAAGAGTTTGGTGGGTTGGGAATAAAAGACTTAACTACTTGGAATAAAGCATGCTGCCTCAAGCTAATTTGGCTAATATTCTTTCAAGGAGGATCAGTTTGGGTGGCTTGGTTTCGATTGGAGATATTACAGGGATCACTATCTAACTTTTGGACAGTGAAGCCTAACGCAAAGAACTCTTGGCTAGTCAACAAGCTAATCAAGCTCAGAGTAGAAGTTTTCACCTGGATAAGGATGAGTGTAGGGAATGGTCGTAATTGTCGCTTCTGGACTGATAACTGGTCCCCATAAGGCTCGCTGGAAACTCTCATCCTCCCCATCAGTAACTCTAGATTTGGAATCCCTGCAAAAGCTCTTCTTTCTGACCTCTATCGCAATGGTACCTGGCATCTTCCAGCTCCAAGATCGGAAGAGATGCTCCTTCTCCAGGTTCATCTCACTACGCTGACTTTAACAGATGAGGAAGACTCATATGAGTGGACAGTGGATGGAAGAACTGCAACACGTTACAACACCAGCCAGATTTACCAACAACTCAGGGGTGAGGATCAAACGGTACCTTGGAAAATTGCTGTCTGGTTTGCAGGAGGTATACCAAAACACAATTTCTTGACTTGGCTTCTTGTCCTCAATCGTTGCCCTACGCTTGGGGACTTTCAACTGACGCAACGTGCCTGCTATGTAATCTGAATCCAGAGACAAGGAATCATATTTACTTTGAATGTCCATATGTTTGGTCTATTTGGCAACAGGTAGCTAGACGATGTTAGATTCAACCTCTCCAGAACTGGGAGCAAACTCTCGAGCAAATGCAAACAACTGGGGGGAACAAACATAGCAGAAAACTTACCTTACTCGCTTGGCAATCAACGCTCTATTGGATATGGCAGGAACGCAACAAACGCCTACACACCCAGCAATTCCGCCCTCCAGATGACATGCTTGTAAGAGGGTTGTACCGGCAGATTACGGACCGACTTTTGAGTTACAGAACTACCAGCCCCATCAACTCCTCCAAAATCATGCAACTATGGCTCTTAACGGACAACCGTGTCTGAACACATGCTCCTCGTTCGTAACGATGCTGCCAATTAACTTTCTCTATGGGTTACAACTCAATTGGGCCTCAAAACTACTTCTGATTCTAATCTATGGTTTTTAAAAATTAATGGATCTAGATAACTGATTGTTTGACTATAGCCTTAATAGGCTTGTAAACATTTTATTTCTTTTGCTTTAAATATGAATGCCTTTAGTCAAAAAAAAAAAAAAAACTGTTGAATTAATAATATAATCACCTCATTACAAGTAGTCTAAGGGATTTTTCAGCATTTCAACTCGCGAGATATGAGAAGGGACGTGTCTATCGTGTTTCGAGCAAATCTTTTCCTTTTGCCTAACAGATTCTATCCTACCTAATATAAATTGTCAAATTAGTTAGACTTTAATGTCGTTGCTTTTCACGTGTTTTGTGAAAGTTATACTTACCTCCACGCACGATGTTGATCACCCGCCAGCTTTCTCAATCAGTCATTTATTCTCACTCACATAACACAAATACGTGTATCAATAAATATTGAGAATTTAGACGATAGAAAATGTCAAACGTTATTTACTTATTATGTGCTTTTATACAGACTATGGAATTTTGGATTTGTTTCATAAAATTTCTAGTATATGGAATCACTCTTTGGAAATTTCGTCTAAGAATAACATTTTGTATGAAAGGAAATGTTATTAACACTAGTCTAAATCATCGATTACATCATCACATATGATGATCAACTATATGCATTATATGCGAACATGATGAAACTATCTTTGTATAATATATGTTCTATTACGTATAATAATCAACTACATACCAACGTCAGCAAACCATCATATATTTTTTTGGTAATCAAACCATCATACATTTGATTATTCCTATTATTATTTTATTTGAATAAAATATGAACCTATTGTTAAATATAATGAAATTTATTTATATACAAACTAACTCAACCACACAAAAAGCTAACATCGGTAGATTGAATGGTATTATAAGATTATTAATAAATATGACTCTATAACCATGGATGTTTGTAAGCTAGATTCGAGACATATGCCCTTCAATAGATTTCAATATATAAGTGCATATTATCCATGGTTTTTTTTTCTTATGTGAATATAAGTTTCTTATATTCCTATAAGAAAAAAACCATGGATAATCATGCTCTAAAAAGGTTACATTATAGATTTTTGGGAAATTACCAGAAATAACACTTTTAAGATACCACTTTTCAACTTTACATTAACCAATTTTACCATTAAAATTTTAATAGTCAAATTACTATTAGAATTTAGGGTTTTTGGTTTAGGATTGATAGTTTAGGGTTTAGTGTTGATTTTTTAGGGTTTAGGGTTTACTTTTTAGGGTTTAGAGTTTAGAGTTTAAGGTTTAGAATTGATATTTTAGGGTTTAGGATTGATTTTTAGGGTTTAGGATTTACTTTTTAGGGTCTAGAGTTTAGAATTGATGTTTTAGGGTTTAGGATTAATATTTTATTTAATATTTATTTTATATATATATATATATATATATATATAAAGAACAAGGATATAAGAGTCTTTTATCCTTTAATAAAATGTGTATTTTTGAAAATGTTCCTTTATTGATGGTAAACATAAAAAGTAGTACCACCAAAGTCGTATAATTGAAATTCTCCCGAGATTTTTTAAGATCTGTATGGGATATTCCCAAGTAACATTATATATCAAGAAGATATATTTTATTAATGATTTTTAATGTTAAACTCTTTCAATTAAATTTGTTTTGGATAAAAAAATTTAAACTAAGTATTTAATGGGAAAACTTCTAAACTAACTTTATTTAATAGATTAAACCTTATATCTACAGTGCATGTCAAAATGAATATTAGTACCGGTAAATCTTTAGTTTAGGGATGTTTACACTAACTAAATATAATTGAAGTGTTTTACCACTAAAATTTTTCAAAAGCCAAAAAATGAAAAAATAAATATAAAATATTAGTAACTTAAATTTGTAACTTCAGCATTTTAAAAATCTGTGCAAATGTATGAGTATGATTTTTTTTAAAAAAAAAAAATCAACACTTTATATGTAAAAATGGAAAATATAAAAAACCAAATATATAATAAAAATATGTATTTATCATTAAAGATATAAAAATTCAAAAATAAAAATTTAAAAAATTTAAAATAGAATAAAAATAACTAAAAATTAGTAACTTAAATTTTAAAATTAGTATTAAAAATTTATGCAAATTGATGAGCTTGGTTTGTTTTAAAATCAACATTATATTTATATAAATTGACTGGTAGTAATAGATTTTTTGATCGGCATTAGAGTAAAACTAATTATCTAACTAACATTTTAAAAGGGAAGTTACTAATCCTTAGATAATGTTATTCTATTTTAAATTTTATATATTTTTATTTTTTGATTTTTATATCTTTAATGGTAAATACATAATTTTATTATATATATTTTTTTTATATTTTCAATTTCTACATATAATGTGTTAATTTTTAAAACAAATCATACTCATATATTTTCATAAAATTTTAAAATGCCAAAGTTGAAAATTTAAGTTACTAATTTTTAGATAAATGTATTATATTTTTGTTTTTTTCATTTTTTGGCTTTTTAAATTTTTTTATGCTAAAACACTTCAATTATATTTGTTAGTGTAAGAACCTCTAAAGTAAAGATTTACCGGGATGAACCTCTAAAGTAAAGATTTACCGGGATGATTGAATCCATTAAATAAAGTTAAATATTAGTTTCAGTGTTTTTGTCTAAAACAAATTTAGTCGAGGGTTTTTAACATTAAAAATTCTTTTATTAATTTCAACTCTAACACGTCCTTTGAATCGAGTCGGGAGGTTTTTACACATTGAATCTGGACTGAAGGGAAATAAGATGGATCCATACGATTATGAAATGAGAATGTGTTTTATCATACACATTGATTTTATGAGTTGTTAGATTATAGCCTAAACAGACATGCCGTTTATCTTGGAGTGAGCTTACGCTGCAATCGAGATAAAAAGAACATTTTATATTCTGAACCAGTTTTGTTAGATTCAGACTAACATTCCTAATTAATTGTATTGTCGAAATAAACAAAACTAATATATATAAATAGAAAGTCACCAGCAATTACATGTATATTAGAATAATAATTCAACGATTAAATATTCCAAATAAAAACAGACTTTTATGTTCTAATCATTTTCATCAAAGCATATATCTATCACAAGAGACATAAACATAACCAAAAAAAAAGAACAAAAAATGAAAGTTGTCTTGATCCTTCTCTCTGTTCTTTTCCTCCTGCAAGCATCCCAAGGATTTGATTTCCATGAAAAGGAACTAGAGACCGAAGAGAGCTTATCGAAGCTATATGAAAGATGGAGAACCCATCACTCTGTATCAAGAGCCTCCCACGAGGTAATTAAACGGTTTAACGTTTTTAGACACAATGTGCTTCATGTCCACAAGACAAACAAGAAAAATAAACCTTACAAACTCAAGATCAATAGATTCGCTGATTTAACACACCACGAGTTCAGAAAGTCTTACGCTGGCTCTAATGTTAAGCATCATCGGATGCTCCGTGGACCTAAGCGCGGATCTGGTAGATTCATGTATGAGAATGTGACCAGTGTTCCAAGTTCTGTTGATTGGATAGAAAAAGGAGCAGTCACGGATGTCAAGAATCAACAAGATTGTGGTAAGAGATTTTTAATATATAAGCCTAAATAACTTCTAGGGGTGATTCTTTTTTCCTAGGGAGTTTCTTGAATCTTATGAACATCTGATATGAACCAGTCTTCGAAGTTTAGAGATTTGTTTGGACTCTGTTGTATGTTGTTCTATTTCTGATTGGTTTGTCATATTCTTGACTTTTTCTAATCAAATCGCTAATTTAGAAACTAAAATTTCCAGGAAGTTGCTGGGCATTTTCTACGGTTGCAGCAGTAGAAGGAATAAACAAGATCAGAACAAGCAAACTAGTTTCATTGTCTGAACAAGAGCTCGTTGATTGTGACAATGAAGAGAATGAAGGCTGTTCAGGAGGTCTTATGGAAGCTGCGTTTGATTTCATCAAGAACAATGGTGGTATCAAAACTGAAGAAACTTATCCTTACATTTCTAACGACGTTGACCTCTGCAGAGCTAAATATATTGAAGGAGAAACTGTAACGATTGACGGACACGAACATGTCCCTGAGAATGATGAGGAGGCACTTCTCAAAGCCGTTGCTCACCAGCCTGTCTCTGTAGCCATTGATGCTGGAAGCTCCGATTTCCAGCTTTACTCTGAGGTAATATTTAATTAAGATATAAATGGAAAGACCTTTGTCTGCGGAAAAAAAGACAGTTTTTTTATATCAAATCACTAGATGGGTAGCTTTTTTTTTTTTTTTTTTTTTTTTTTTTGTAACACGGGTAGCTTTTTTTAAATTATACTATTTGTTAGTAGTGGCACACAATGTAAGAAGGGATAATTAGGAAACGGCTCATAAAGGTCAAATTAGAAAAAGTAGTTTGAATTATTCAAAAAAAGAAATAGATCCATTTGATTATATCTGAAGCTAAGAAATGGTTTAAGTTTAATATTTCGACCTTGAGATATAGGATTTATATGTAGATTGTTCTTTTTTTTTTTAATTTTCAATGTATAGTCAAAAAACAATAAAAGCAATATGATGTTTACTGCAAAAAAAAAAAATTGAAGAAAATTTACATCAATTTCAAATCTATATATATATATATATATATATATATAATTTTTAATAATTTTACATATGGAATGTTAACTGATTTAAGATTCAAATTAAATATTTTTATCAATACATCATGTTTAACGAGAAACAAAGGATAACATTCTCTAAACATGCTTTCACTAAATGAACGTGCATGACTCCTATTCTAGGGTGTGTTCACTGGAGAATGTGGGACTCAGTTAAACCATGGAGTAGCGATTGTCGGGTATGGAGAGACGCAAAATGGAACAAAATATTGGATAGTGAGGAACTCTTGGGGTCCAGAATGGGGAGAAGGAGGCTATGTACGGATTGAGAGAGGAATATCTGAGAACGAAGGACGTTGCGGCATAGCCATGGAGGCTTCTTATCCCACCAAGCTCTCGTCTAGTTCATCTGGAGAGACTACTAATATTCATGAGCCAATAGCTCCTAATGCTGTTAAAGATGAACTCTAGATTGTGAGTGGTGAAGATGAGATCTCGCGAGTTCCTATATTGTGAAGAATATAATATAAATAATATAGTGATCCGACGTTTGAGTTTGTTATTGTATTTGTATGTGTTCTATATCCTTTTTTCTTGAACATAGCGTTCTATATCTTCTCATGGAGTTTTTCCTTTTAAATGTCATGTGAGACCGTCTCTATTACTTCATTGTTATGCTGTATTTATCTTACATTGTCTAGATATTTCCTTATTTTTTACATATTGGCTAGTGGGTAACAGATAAACTTTGCGAAAATTGATCGTATCTGGTTGTTATGTGCATTTGGTCAGTGTTTCATCTATCTCTGAAGTGTCCACTTCAAAAACTTGTCTTAAGTACTTTGTTGTTCTAGGGAAATTGAGCACTAAAAGCTGAATCTTGTACTTGGATGCTCTAGAAAAGCTGAATCTTGCCCTTAGTGATTCGAGGTCCATTAATGCTAGGGTTTCTGAAGACACAAGACACCATTATATAGATCGTATTTTGTGCCTCTTCTAAACCGAAATAGCAGAAACATAAGCAGTACAACAAAAGAGAGAGTAGTTGAAAGAGAAGACAAGAGGAATTCCACAAAATCTAAAGAGAGAGGCAATCAAAAGGCTCAAAGACAGTCAAGAGGGATCTGCAGACTGAGCAAAGGGCAAAAGAAAACAAGAGAGAAGTAGTCAGAGAGTGAGAAGCTACCACAGACAAGAGAAAAAACAAAGTTCTAGTCATTGTGTTCTTAGAGCATCTCCATAAAGGAATTCTATTTTGAAGTTTCACAAATTCTATATTTGAAGTTTCAAAGTGTTATTCTCCAAATAAAAAAACTTTAAAACTAACTTAAAAATTATTTGTATATTACATTATGGTCCTTATAGTTTTCACAATTAATAAATATCCATAAAAATTTGATAAATAGCAAACACATATATAAAAATATTCAACAATATTAATTAATAAAAGTTTACATGAAAATATAAAACTAGAAATAGAAATACATAATTAAATATTAAAATACAAGCAAAATTTACCACATTATTCCATAAAATTATTTCCGTAATGCTCTCATATGTGATCAACTAGTGAATTTCGAAGTAAGAAATGATTCTCTTTATTTTTAATTTGTAGATTACAAGCTAAAAATTGTTGAAAACTGATATCTTCATTTTCCGCCATATCAACAGTTGTTTCTGCCACTGATCTTGTATCTCTTATCGGCGCATTAATATCATGTTCATTCTCAATTATCATGTTATGCATTATAATGCATGCCGTCATTATATCATGAAATACTTCTTTCTTCCAGTAATGAGCTGCTATGATAGCAAACTTGGACTGCAAGATTCCAAATGCACATTCAACATCTTTTCGACATGTTTCTTGTTTTGCTGCAAACAATTATTTCTTTGGACCTTGGGGATTGCTTATTGTTTGAACAAGAGTTGACCATTTTGGATAAATTCCATCAGCTAAATAATGACCCATGTTATATTCGTTTCCCTGAATAACATAATTAGCCGGAGGAGCGATACTTTGAGCAAGCTTTGAAAATAAATTGGATGACTTCAAGACATTAATTTCATTGTTTCTGCTGGGCATACCAAAATAGGCAATGCCATATCCATAAGTCGTAATCTGGAACTGCTTCAAGAATGATAGTGGGTGATCCGCTACGGCCTGCAAATTTTCCCGCCCATGCGGTTGGACAATTTTTCCATTTCAAATGCATACAATCCAGACTACCCAACATTCCAGAAAATCCACGTTGTTGGCCAATACTGAGAAGCCTCGCAACGTCTTCTGATGTTGGTGACCTGAGATACCACTCCGAAAACACTTTCACAATTGCTCGACAAAACCTTTTCATGCATTCATTCAATGGCAGTAGACTCTCCTATTTTGATGTACTCATCTGTACTTGCACACCATACGCCAAAATTTGAATTGCAGTAGTAACTTTTTGGAAATTTGATAGACCCATTCTACCAGATGCAATACGTCTTTGATGGAAGTAGCTGTCATGTTTTGTAACAGCATCAACAATGCGAAGAAATAACTCTCGTGACATTCAAAATTGACGATGCAACTCTCTTTTGCCATACACGGGATTATTAGAAAAATAATCATTATACAAATTAGAATGAACATTTTCTCTATCAAGATGTATAACTGCGTGGCCATGAATAGATCTTCGATGGCTTACGTGATTGCTTTGTTGAGTGAGCTGGTGAATTAGAAAGTTGTTTTGTGATAGCAATTGGTTGCAATTTGTTCTTCAATCTCCCTTGCTGCATTGTCATATTTTAGCAATTCATCAATTTCAGATGACTCGGAAGAGGAAGAGGAAGAAGAAGAAGAAGAAGAAGAGTTTACAAAACAAGAACCTCCAATATTAAAATTCATTTTAGGTAAGTTGTGGTGATGTGATACTTGTAACAATTCATGTCTATTTACAATCACACATCTACATATTAATATTTAAAAATAATAAAATCTAGAAGAATCAATTTGTGTCATACATTGGACCTTACCCTCTCAATAATCTTTATCATACATTTTCATTGGAGAATGTATATCATGCATTGGACCTCACCATCTCACTAATCTTTGAAATTTTAAAAATATCAATTTTTACCATGAATTGGACCTCATTATCTCACCAATATTTGAATCTTGTAAATATTACAAAAGAATTTGGAAAAGATTATTTTTTTTACATGCATTGGACCTTACTCTCTCACCAGTGAAATCAATTTATGTTTATGCATTTAAATTATTGTTGAACTATTGTTGTGTATAAATAGTAGACTTCAAGAAATAAGAAAATCACAACTCCAATCTTTTTCTTTCTTTCTAAAAACAAAATATGGAGAAAAATAGAGGCTCATCATTCAATCAACAAGAAGATGAGATCTTATGTTGTGTGTATTTAGAAATACCGCAAGATCCCATTGGTAGCAATCACCAATCCCTTGGGAAATTGTGGGAAAAAATAGGTAAGAGTTACAATGAAAAAAAAATGAGAGTTGGGAAAGTAGAAGAACAAGATCTCTACAAAGTAGAATGAATACTATTACATACGCCGTTAGAAATTTAAAGAGCTGCATAACACAAGTGGAGAATATGCATTCAAGTGGTGCAACTGAATTTGACATTGTAAGTATTTTTTTACTCAATATATATCTGATATTTATTTTGTAATTAACCAAGTTTTATGTTTCATTACTTTGTAGATGGAGAAGACTAAGAAACTTTTGCTACAAGATCCAAAACTGAAAAAGTTTTTAAATTTGATCATGTGTGGGTAATGATGAAGGATGTTCTAAAGTTTACAAGCAATGTCAACATATCTATCCCAGATACTCTTAACACTAAGAGCAATACTTTCGGCTCTCCGACATCACAATCTCCGAAAATGCCTTCATTTTCAATCAATTTAAGTAGTGATGATGGCGGATCAAGTTCACGTCCTATTGGATCGAAGAAAGCAAAACTCAAAAGGAAGACTAAGGTAATAATATGGCAGCTGATACTTTGATATCATCCAACGAACAAATCCTTGATTTTTTTAAAAGAAAGTGCAACAAGCAGGGATAAAAATCATGAGATGATTGAATTACGAATGAAAAATGAAGAAAAAAGTTAGCTTTAAAAGAAGTAAAAGAGGAAAATAAAATATTGCTATAAAACTTAGCTTCTATCAGTGATATTAATACTTGTAACTACATTCGTTCTGAACAAGAAAGAATCATACTAAAAAGACGTCAAGAACAACAAGAACAACCATCTTCGGTTACAAAAAACTTGTTTGGATTTGAAGATTTGCTTCCGGGGGAGATTTACCAGATTATAAGTATTGTTGTAATATTTAAATTTCTATAATAGTTATGTTTTCATGTACCTTTTTTGAAAAATAATTTTAATTAAGTTTGTTTTGTAATATTCTTGTTGTTTATTTTTACTTTTAAAATAATATAAAGTTTATTTTTTTTTTTATTTAATCTTATGTGTAAAACTTAATTTATAGAAATAAATTTGAAGATTTGTGAGATATAATGTTTTTAAAAATTAAAATGATAAATAAGAAAATACTTAAGAATCATAAATAATATATATAAATATAAGGACCAAATTGCAAATAAAAAGCTGAAACTTAAAATTTGAAGATTTGAAGTTTTGAAGTTTCTTTTTGAAGAGAAAAAACTCTATATTTGAAGTTATAGAGTCTATTAGATATGCTCTTAGAGTGTTTTTGGTATTGTACTCTCATTCTGTAATCTCCTTAGTCATTCTCAAAGTTGTGAGAAGTGACTTGAACTTGTAAGCTTTGCTTGTTAGTGGAAATTGTGGGAGAGGGATCCCACCCCAGAGGTACCACAAAGGAATTGGGTTAACAATATTTGTGTGTTTAAGTTTATGTTTTCCATCACAAAGATCCAAGGTTTAACACTAAGAAGGAAGTAGGAAAGTTAGGTGTATGGATAAACCTAACAAGTGGTATCATAACTAGCAAGTGATAGCTATTGGTTGATACAGAGTCAAGTTGAAATTTTCCTTTGCAAATGGTATCAGAGCTGCAAGTTTGGAGGAATATTGTTTGATGATTCTCCTTGAAGATTCAATGGCAAATATAAGGACTGAAGTGGATAGGTTTGATGGAACACGAGATTTCTCCTTATGGAAGGTTCGTGTGCTAGCTGACTTTGGTGTTCTAGGTTTGAAAGGGATTCTTACAGATGAGAAGCTATTGAAAGATCCACCTAGTACAAGGGAGGAGTTGGAAGCTGCTGCGAAAGATCCGCAGAAGGGGTTAGCAGGGGTCTCAGATGCTGGTCCAAGCATAGACCCAGTAAAGATCTGAATGTATTGAATGTGGGGAGTCAAGTGCTAAGGAAGACTAAGCATTTTGAAACAGCAGCAGCCATGTGGTCAAGATTGGACAAGTTGTACATGGAGACTTCATTGCCAAACCGCATATATCTACTGCTGAAGTTCTATACTTTTAGGATGAATGATGCGAAGAGTATAGTGAGAATGTCGATGACTTTCTCAAGATGGTAGCGGATATGAACAATCTAGGCGTAGATGTGTCAGAGGAAATCCAAGCTATTCTGCTGCTAAGTTCATTGCCTCACAAGTATGACCAGCTAAAGGAAACTCTCAAGTATGGAAGGGTCAGTCTCAGCTTAAATGAAGTAACAGGAGCTGCAAGGTCCAAGGAGAGAGAGTTGGCTGAAAGCGGAAGCCTATCTATACCAAGTGCTGAAGGCCTCTATGTTGATTCAAGAGAAAGCAACCAATATGGAAGAGGAAGGTCTAAGAGCAGAGGAAAGTATCATTCCAAGCCATGGCCTGATAAGAACAACAAAGGTTGTTTTATCTTTGGAGACGAAGAGCACTGGAAAAGAGATTTCCCGGATATGAAGGATAAATGCTCTGCAAATACTGCACGTGAGTATAAGGAACCAATGGTTTTAAGTGTTAGCACTCATAACTCAAAGAAAGGGTGGATTACGGACTCCAGACAAGGAAGTCTTGTTTGACTTCAAGGAGCTTGATGGTGGTAAAGTGTTAATGGCTAACAACACCTATGGTGACATCAAGGGGATAAGAAAGGTTCGGATTGAGAATCCGGATGGTTCAGAAGTGATATTCAAGGATGTTAAATACATGTTAGAGGTGAGTAGAAATCCGATTTCCTATGAGATGTTGGAGAAGTCAGGTTGCGAGTATAGAGGAAAAGGCTTCAGGGTTCAGTTTTATAAAGCTGGAAGAAAGGTGATATCAGGAGAGTATCAAGAAAAACTCTACTACCTTCAAGGCAAAGTCACTAAGGCTGAAGTGAAAGCACCAAGAGAAGAGGAGGTGAGTATAAAAGCAAAGAAGTCCGGGATATGAGCAGAGAATTAGGTTAAGGGAGCTGAAAAGAAGAAGCCAAAGAATATGACATTCAGCAAAAACCTGATTCAAGGACCTACTCCTTATGGCTATAAGTGGAAGGGGTCAGTAGCTCAAGGTGAAGATTCTTCTGTGACAAGAAAGTCAAGGGATAATGAGTCTAAGGTGAGTAGGGAGGAATCAGCAGAAGAACCGGAGTTAGCTTAAGGGGACAGAGTGAAGACAAGGAAACGTACTTCAAGAAGGAGGAATCAAAGGCTTGATGGGTTTAAGGAGGATTCCGAGTGTTGCATTAGTAGTTTCTCAGGCTTAGAGAATGCAACAGGCTTAGATGAAACTGAAGCAGCCACGACATTTATGTTCAAAGTGAATGAAACAGAATGTGAGTCTCTCATAAAAGCAGGAGAGTCTACCCAAGATCAGAAGCATGCTAAGCAAGGAGGCTTCTAGGATAAGAGGATACCGAGTCAGGAGTTGCAGAAAGGCTGCATACTTCTCAACGCGCACTAAAGGGGGAAACAGCCCCATGTAACTATTCTGACTTATGGTGGACCTTGCAGGATCGAATTGACAAGGTAGAGTTAATTTGTCTAAAGTATGGAGATGGAAGATTAAGTTGCAGTGTGGAGAATTACCTGGTGGAGTTTCTGGAACTGTGTAACTAGAGTCACAAGTTCAAGGTGGAGCAGTTGAGGGAAAGCTTCAGAATAAGTTGAAGCAAGTGGTTCGACTCAGGTGTTGTAACTGAGAGAGAAAGAGGCAAGGATGATTCTGTCTCAGGAAAAAGAAGACCCCAAAGAAGCGGGGTAAGTACCTACAAGGCATGGTAGGTTAAAGGTAGGTTGGAAGCACCAGGGAGCACAAGCACAAGTGACCAAACGCTCAAGGTGGAGATTGTTGGTTATGTGCATTTGGTCAGTGTTTCACCTGCAGCTCTAAAGTGCCCACTTCAGGAACTTGTCTTCAGCACTTTGTGCTGAATGGAAATTGGCAAAGGTAACTAGAGCACTGAAGTGACCACTTCAGACAAAATGCATCTTAAACTTGGATGCTCAAAGAAAGCTGATATGTTAGGCTTTAGTGATTCGAAGCCCATTAGTGCTAGGGTTTGTGGGGATACAAGACACCACTATATATATCTTGTGTCTCCTCTAAACCGAAGTAGCAGAAACATAAACAGCACACAAAAAGAGAGAGTAGCTGAAAGAGAAGACAAGAGAAATCCCACAAGATCTAGAGAGATAGGCAAGCAAAAGACTCAAAAGCAGTCAAGAGGGATCTGCATACTGAGAAAAGGGCAAGAAATTGACAAGAGAGAAGTAGTCAGAGAGTGAGAAGCTACCACAGACAAGAGAAGAAACAAAGTCCGAGTCTTTGTGTTCTTAGAGTGTTCTTGGTATTGTAGTCTCCTTCTGTAATCTCCTTAGTCATTCTCAAGGTTGTGAGAAGTGACTGGAACTTGTAAGCTTTTCTTGTTAGTGGAAGTTTTGGGAAAGGGATCCCACCTCAGAGGTACCACGAGGGAACTGGGTTAACAATCTTTGTGTCTTTAAATTTCTGTTTTCCATTACAAAGATCCAAGGTTTTAACACTAAGAAGGAAGTAGGGAAGTTAGGTGCATGGGCAAACCTAACAAGTGGTATCATAACTAGCAAGTGATAGTTGTTAGTTGATACAAAGTCAAGTTGGAATTTTCCCTTACAGTATCAAACACGATTCCATTTGTTTCTTTAATTCATTATTTGATGATTTAAATGCACTACTGGAATTTATTTTTGTATGGGTTTTGTGTAAGTTTAAACTTTATGATTTCTATTATGAAATCTACCCAAGACCATATTCTAGATTTAGATTAATTCAACCCTATTACTTTTTTAAGAAGAAGAAAGATATTAATCTTGATCCATGCTTTCATAGGTTTTGGAAGCAATTCCAACAATTGATTTTTTCCTCCTGAACTTTTCTCTTGTCTAGATTCCTTTGATGGAGAGGAAGCAAAAATACATATCTTTCAATCTTTAATATGGAAAAATTGTTATTTTAGACAAAACAAATATGGATATTGTCCTTTTACGCTATTATCAACTTTGTACCATTTTTGTCTATTACATCTTTTCTATTTATGAAAATAATGAAATAAAAAATTTACAACCCGAAAATATAAGAACATTTATAGAAATACCTCTAACAATATAGATTTCTAAAAATGTTTTAATAAAATTTCAAATTTTGTTCTACGGTACTGCAAAATAGATATTCTGCGAAGTGGAAAATGAAATCCACTTTTTTTTCAGTTATACGAAAATTAGAATAAGGCATCTACGTAATCACAATAATCTAAAAATATTTGGAAGCCACACTCTTCGCTTTGCCCTACATTCTAGAAAACGTAAAATCCACATTATAAAAAATCTAAAACATGTAAAAGCCGGTTTCAAACTTGTTAATTGTCTTCTACATATCTGTAGATTTTTATTTCAATTTTTTAATTATATTTATACATATAGTAGAATGCATATATTACGGATAAATATGAATATTTTTGAATTGGAAAGAAAATATTTGGAATTTTTTTTCCATATTTAAAAGATGGAATTTTTCAAAAAATATTTTTTGTTTTATGTTATTACTTATTTTAAT